GAGTCGACCAAAATCAAACTTTGGATTGGTTGATTTAGTTCCACGTATTACTATTGATTAAGTGTTTAAAAGGTTGAATGAACATAAAATCATGTGATTATTGAGTTATTTGATCTTTGTTACATGAGATTTTTTTTATTGAATGTTAGGCACACCAATTAGAGAATTCAGCTTTGTTGGATCCTTGGTGTTAAGTGATTATGTTTTCTAATGATGCTTGATTAATTGATGATTTGGAATGTTAAATGGTAATTTTAGGTTACATGGCTAATTTAAGTTATTTGGTATGTAACGATTGATAGGAATGCTTAGAAATCTTTGGTAAGCTTTGGCTTAAGTGTGAAATTTATGTGGATTGAGTTGTTTGATGTGTTATGTTTCGACCAAATTTAAAATTTATGTTGTTTGAATTATGTTTATGTAATTATTAAATATGTGTACGTAATTTTTTGGTAGATTGATGTAAATGTTTAAAATGTACAAGTTATTGTTAAGAAATTCATTTAATTGCATCCACATGCATGTCATGAAAGTAAAGTTTTTTTAATCATATTGTCAAGGAAAGAAAATGAATGGTATGCTTTCAAGAAGGATGGCTAGACACATCAAAGAGGGTCAAATACATGCACATTCGATAGAGGGCCAAATATATACAAATTCAATAGAGTGCGTCCGAAAATTGATATGTCTAATGCTTTTATATTTTCATAAAAAGACGATTTTAAAAGTGGGTCGAATATATACATATTCGATAGGGTGTCAAAAGAGGAAAATGAATTTCAAAGCACGAAAGGAAAGATTTTTATTATCAATTTAAAATTAAAGGATGTTTATATAAAAATATCATTTTCTATTTTATGCCACCCAAATTGAAAGAATTAAAATGATAAATACATTCAACATATTTGAAAATTGGTCAATTTTCAAGACATATCGTGTAAATGCTAAAGGGCAACTCTCTTTATTGAAGCGAGAAAATGCCTTTTTCCCATGAACCCTTAAAAGATAGTGTTGTCCAAGATAATATATTGATGCCTTAGATGAGAAATTAAATGATTTGATATTTTAAACAATAATACGTGGTACATATTTAGATCATGATCCCGTTCAACCCACCACTTCTTCTCTATAAACTAATTATGATTTTTAAATAAGACTAGAGCTTATCAACTCTGAGCAAGATCGAACATGAGATAAAGAAAAGCCATTTTTGGTATATCCATCACAAACAAAACTTAATCCATTGTTGTTCCAACTTTAAGCCTTTAATAATTGCTTTCAATGATAACTTAGACTAGGATCGGCCTTAAATTTGGGGCAATTTTAGAGGTTTACAAAATCAATGATATTCTCCTAAGAAAGAAATTGGAGAGTGTTAGTTAGTAAAAAAAATTGTGAAAGGAACCCCGATAATAATTCTAGAACAATAGGAGACAAAAGAAAAAGAAATGGGACATGAAAATAGAATGAAATAACACTAAGACAAAAGAAAATATTATCAATTAAATTAGGAGATGAGATTGATTATGAAAACAACAAAGACAAGGTGGCAAGCCTAAAATGATCTCGATGAATGATTAGGTGATCTTGAGTCTCCATACCCTCAAGAATCTTTTGAGCCGTGTATAGCTTTTTGTACATAAGCCAAAATCTTAAGCCTAAGTTAAGTGCTTTTGAAAGCTCTTTCCGATAAAGAACGATTTGTTTTATGTTGATAAGCTTTAGCCTCAAACGAGAAGGAAAAAAATGTTTCTTTAATAAAACTTGACTTGGTTATGCATTGTGAATTATCATTTATAACAATAAATTATGATTTTTCATCAAATACCTTGGGACAAGAAAGAAATGAGATTTCATTTCTTTCTACGCAAAATTGTTCATGTGAGCCTAACATTTTTAAAAAAACCTTTTGAGCATATGAAATCCAATTGAGCATTTCACTCCTTTTGAGCCAACACTAGATAATTTCCTTTCAAAAAGAAATGAATCGACTTATTTCTAAACCTTTTATGTGATCTAAATATGTTTCGCTCATCTAGCCTAAAGAAAGATCATTTTGAGGATTGCATCATGACATTTACAAGATGTGTACTAGTTTTTTATTAAGTGAATCAAATATTTTCTTGATTAAGATTATTTTCTTGTGAACATGTAAAAATTATATATTTTTTTTAATAGTCCAACCTGGTTTGATGAAATTTATTCAAATATATGATCTAATCTAGGACGATCAAAATAACTAAAATTGAGTCTCTTTGAAAATTTAAAAAAGTTTAAAGATAAACTTGCAAAATCAAGCTCACACATCAAAAGTAGATGGATGACACGAGCAATGACAATGAGAGATGCATGGCAAATGATAGATCGTCAACAATGTCTAGAGATGTGCTACGATCAAATTGATAATGAAACTATGTTAGCATTGGAATATCAAGCATTTCAACTCCTCTTTTATCCAAAACAACAAAGGGATAATTTGAGTAGTGGCAAAATATTTATTAGCATAATCATTTGCTTTGCTTATTTTATTTTTGATTTTTCCAACATAATATGATTCATGATTTGTGACCTCTCAAATTAACCTTTATTTTCACAAGTATAATCGATCCCTAAAAACAAAAACTTTTTCTTAGTCTCACGCACAATCTTATGATTGATATTATTCATAAAAGGTGATAATGCATCAAACTAGCAAATGATAACACGATAAAGGCTTTTTAGAACTTAGTAGACAATAAGGTTTTCTTTATAAAACTTGTCATAAGATTCTTCCTAATGAATTGAGGACGAGTGGTTACAAAGAGTTATTTCAATCATTTTTAGGGTTGGATTTCTTCATACATGCTGGCAAAAGACTAAATACTTAGGCTACAATACCTTAAGTGCATAAAAGGCTAACAATGGTCCTTTCAACTACAAAAGTATATGCCATTCGGATGACTTGAACAATAGCACGAGCGAGACTTTTAAATAAACACAAGAATACAAAGTAAAATCAAAAGACACGATGATTAAGTAGACAAAATTAGTAAGAGTAGCTAGCCCAAAACTTCAAACCTACTTAAATAGAGACGGTTTGCAAACGAGGAAAAAAGTGAGAAAGTTCATATTTTGGCAATGATAACTTATACTTCTCTTAAGGTGGTAAGATTTACCAATTACACTCTTGCGCTCCTACTAAGGAAAGGTCATCTATTTGACTTTGAGAACGGTTATCCATATGAACTAACGACTACCAAAAGATCACATATTTGACCTCGATGATGGTTACTTGTATTAACTAACGAGTAAGAAAAAGTCACTTATCTAACCACGAGAATGGTTACTTACATTAATCAACAACCAAGAGAAGGTCACATGTCTAACTTTGGGGATGGTTGCTCGTATCAACCAACGAGTATTAACCATTGTTCGATTAGTGAAACATTTTGATTCTTGTAATTTCTTGTTTACTCCTCCACTATGTAACTAGACGACCTATGATATAGCTCATAAAACCCTTATCGATTGTCAATCTTATGACAACCTCGTCTATAATTAACGATTGGCTAGGTTTCCTTTTAGAAACTGACTAATTACTCTTTTTATTATCATTGATATATTTATTTTTGACCAAAAAAAAAAATTCTTTTAAATTGTTTAAAATTTATAACAATTAAAATTTGAATTTTAAGTCGTTTATAGTTTTACCATTTTCAATTCAACTCTTTTCTAGAAAATTATGAAATCATGTTGTACTATTTCAAATATTTTAATTTTTTTTTATCCTTAATGGTGTGATTTTTTAAAATTTTGTTCCAATCATATAAATATTTAATATCCGATGAAGTTAAATAGGTAGTTAGAGTTAAATTAGTGTGATGTAAAATAAGTTTTATCTAATAAGAAAATCTTTCAAATTATTATAAATTGGTTTACATATTATAAGTTTGAAATTGGATACTAAATGTGTCGAGTTTTTTTTTTTACGTTGAAACAAAATAAAAACGACAATTATTATTTTTGTTTCAAATAACCATACAATTTTTTAGGACAAAAGGAGTACATAGTACAATGCATGAATGATATCATGGAAAAATATTGTTATTTAATTTACTCAAAATTTATTTATTTATAAATAAGCAGAGAATTAAAAATAAGACCACCTTATATTGGAAGCATTTCGCTAGATTTAATAATAGGTTAAAGGATCCAATCATTTCTAAACTTTAACTCATTTAAGATTGAGTTTTTGAACTTTTTTATTAGTTTTGGTGGTTTCTGAACTTTTATTTTTTAAAAAAAAAAATTGCTTCATTCAAAGATTTTCGGCTATCATATTCCCTTTAAAAAAAAAATAATTCTTGGTATTTTAAGCTGAAATTTTGCACATATATTGAGAGGAAAAAATCAATCTTTTTTGTAGAAGAAAATCCAAAAATTTTCAAAATTACAAGCTATATTTGTTTATTTTTTAATATTAAAAATATAAAAAAAAATTGAGAAAAAAAAACCCTTAAATGATCCTATATTTTTTTTAAGTGCCTCATATAAATCTCACATAATAATTTTTACCATGAAACTATTTATGTAATTGTTATTTTTTAAAACAAATGATAAAAAAATTGAAAGATTGCCTAAATCTGAAAAGAAAAATTAAAAGTTTAAGAATGTTCAAAACTAATAAAAAAAATTCAAGAATTTAACTTAAAGTTTAGAAATACTTAGACCCATTTAACCTAAATGATAAAGAAAAGGTTGGAATGAGATTGTTTTGTCCCAAATAAATAAAAAATAAAAAATCAAGTTGCAACTCGAAAGGTGAAATTTCCCAAGGTAGTGTAGTTTGCATCCATGACCCATGATTGGGGTTGGGGATTGTTTTAATTTACAGCAGTAAAAAAAGTGAATGCTCGTTACTTACTTGTAAAATCATTATCCTCAACTCCATGGACCATTCCCTCAAATTCATTACCCTTTTTATCTCTATGTTTACCCAATTAATGAAGTAGAAGGAAGAAATGGAGTACATTGAAGACGATCCAAGGTACCCACCAAAATCTTATTCTCTGAATCGATCGAGAAAACATCCTTTATACCCCCAGCATCAAACCCTAACGACTCACTACAATTACGATTACGACTACGATTACGATTACGAATACCTCGACGTGAACGACGATGAGGAAGAACTGGACGGTGAATTCATCGACAAAAACGACACCAGCTATAACCCTAGAGGCTATTCTCACAAGTTTCAACAAAGCCAAGACGCTTTTGAGAGATACCCAAAGAGGCAAAGGCGCAAAAACCAAGTTTCCAATTTTGAATTTGCTCCGAGAAACCCATTGTCATATGAAGATGGGGATAGGGATGGGAATTCTGCGGTGGAATGGAGCGAGCATGAGAAATTTGTTCTTTTGGAGGTGTGGGGAGATAAGTTCTTGCAATTGGGAAGGAACAGCTTGAGATCTGAAGATTGGGTTGATGTTGCTGAGAAACTGTCGGAGACTTCGAAAATTGAGAGGAATGAAGCTCAGTGTAGGCAAATGATGGATGTTTTGAAGAGGAAGTATAAAAAAGAGAAGGCTAGAGGTAATTATAGCAAATGGGTTTATTTTAATAAAATGGACATGTTAATGAAGCAAGAGTCTGGAACTGTTGGTGGGTTTAGCTTAGCTTGTGGGGTAGATTCGGGGGAGTATGTTTTTATGGACACACGCGTTTATTTGGATCGCGCCAATATGAATGATGAGATGAGGGATAGTCCATGTGAGTCGGAGGAAGAGGGGGAGGAAGAAGAGGAGGGAGGGAGTGGTGGCCATGAGGGGGTGAAGGGGTTGAGGGTGTTGGCTGAATCGGTGCAGAAGTTTGGGGAGATATATGGGAAGATTGAGAGCAGTAAGAGGGAGCAGATGATGGAGTTGGAAAGGATGAGGATAGAGTTTCAAAGGGATTTGGAGCTGCAGAAGAAGCAGATTTTGGAGAGGGCGCAGGTGGAAATTGCCAAAATAAGGGAAGAAGATGATGGGGAGGATGAATACAATTTCGAGGATGAGGATGATGATGAGGACGACGACGATGATGTTTCTGGTGGGAATGTCAGCAAATAATGTAGGTAGGTGTTTGCATATTATATAGAATGGTTGTGCTTTAGTTTTGGTAAAGGATCATTTTTCGTTCTTTTGTGAGTTTTACTGGAGTAATTGACAAATATTGGATGGAGTTTTTGCACATTTTGTTTCCTTGTTTGGCTTTAAGTTTTGATTGCTGGCTTAATTGTTTATTTTTTGCCTGCTTGAAGTAAGGAGTTATAATAATTGTCTGGTAAAGTTATGTTGATGAACCAGATTTCTTAAATACATTAAAGGAATTTCACAAATTTGTCTAACCTAAATTGGTTGTGCATTCTAGACATACCATATGTGCATAATTTCCAATGCTTCACATCATTGAGGATGACAGTTTTTGAAATTCATTACTTGGATTGCCTCTCTGCTTTGGCTCCCAGTCCCAGGTACTTCCAAGCATGGAGTTTTGGTGAGGGAACGCTCCATACAAAAATTTTCTTAATTATACTTCATTGATTTCTTCCTCAAATCTTGATTCGGAAACTTTAAAAAAAAAAAAACTGGAGGAAGGAAATGAAGCAATACAATAGCATGTCGTGATGGCACAAAATGGTCGAGAAGTTGAATTGAATCATGACATTTCCTGAATGGACTTGTACTGCTAGAAAGAGATGGAAGTATGTAATGACTTTGTTAAAAGTTCAGAATTTTAACAAAGTCAATACATACTTCCATTGTTTATGACAAATGGGTCAAATATCCATCATTCTCGCACAACAAATCATTAACACATCAATCAAACGCACCCTATGAACTCAAATAAGATGGTTAAGTTAAAAAAAAAATGAGGCATGGCCAAAAAAAAAAACAACTTGTTTATTTAAATTCTAGTTGATTTTTTGAAATGCGAAGATATAAATGATTGGAAAAGTTGATTATGCTTGTGTACTTATTGAATATGGATGATGCGACAAAATTAGTTTTTTCTTAAATTCTTTGATTGGACCTGCTCTATGATCTGTTCTGAAGATTTATTAACAGTATCATAATCCTTTCTCTATTTGCGTGGATTGTTGGTAAGCCTGATATGCAGAGATGTTAGTTTAAACTGAGAAGAGCTGGCCTTACATATTTGTGATTCTTACTCGCTGTGAAGAAAAGAGTTTGTCTTGAATTTTTTTATTGGACCTGCTCTTTTATCTAGCCTGACAAGTTGAGAGCTAACTCAAAATTGGAGATTTATTAATGGTATCATAAACCTTTCTCTATTTGCATACAGCGTTTGCAAGCCTGATAATAAAGAGACATTATTTTAAACTGAGAAGAGCTGGCATTTCATATTTTTGTTCCTTCTTGGTATGAAGAGAGCTTGAATCAGTGATCAGAATTCTAGTGCAAAGGCATCATTATAGGTCTAACATTAATAAGTTTCCTTGTTTAAATTGAAATGCAAATTATAAGTATACCATAGTCCCTGGCATTAAACATCTCATATATTTTTACTAGTTGAAATGAGAGGTTAGGATGGTAGGTAATTGTTGTTGGCAACTTTGGGCAGTACAGTATATAAGCTCTAGTGGCATCTGATTTTGTAATTGTGAATGCTGATCTTTCTCAAATTTTTAAAAGTCGATATTCATTTAAGTTTAGAACACATGAATATTATGTGATGGCAAATTTGGAGAGTGCAGTCCAATACAGTACAGTATGTTTCCAGGGAATGTGATCTTTTAATATTAAATGCTGCTCCTTTTGAAATATTTAAAGTTGCTGTATAATTAAGTTCAGGCCATATGAATATTATGTGATGGTGTTGGGTCTTGTTCATCGAATTTCCTTGAGATGGACGCATGCTTTTGGAGATATATGGATTTTAGAAAAACTTCTTCTTTGGTGTTGTGATTTTCTACTTGAAGTGCCTGAATTTCTGAGATGAGTCTTGTTTATTAATCCTATATTCTGTCCTTAAATTATGAATTCTCCTGCCCAAACCAAAAGGTCTTTGGAATGTTTCCTTGTTTTGTTGAGAGTTTTTCTTTGAAAATAGTTTGAACTCAGATTGAGCAAGAATGATCTTGGAAAAGAAGTTGCAGTTGGTTGTTTTATTCACTTTTTGCTCAGTTACATGTAGATGCTGATATGGAAAACTTGTCTATGAAGTTTTACGTTGTATGATAGAAATGCTTTTTTATTGATGGTTGTCAATTTATCTTGGTAATAATGCAATGGTCAACCAATGAGTTACACTTGACTTATTATGATTGTTTATTAAGGTGATTTAAAGGCTTTGTTGATTGGATAGCTGATGATTCTAGATGTAGATGTATTTTCTTTCTTGTTTTTAGCTTGCCAGTCCTGCATGGTTTGCTAGATTGTAATTTTGGTTTATATTTGGGCTGTTCAAGATACTGGTACTACTTTCTTAGGTTGTAGTGTCTGCCATTGCTCATCATGTTCACCTCTTTCTTACAGTATGGTAAATCTTGCAGTACTTCTTGTAACAGAGATTTTAAAGGCCGCATTTTTGGCATTTGAAGTTTTGAAACCATGATGATATCTGAACATCCTGTGGAGAGAGATTTTCCTTTAATTGGAGGTTGCCAAAGTGTCGAACTATGCTGGACTTCCAAGGTTTTTCAGAATTTGATGGGTATGTAGGTTTATTATGTATTAAAGATCTAACATAGCATTGTCTCTTGCTTGGGATTTCAATGGTAGCATAGATTCTTGTCCTACTGGCTGTCAATATGTGTTGTTATACATTTGCTTATAAGATGCCACTATCCATATAATCTGCTAAGCCTCGTTGAATCAATAACTAAAAAAGTAATCTTTTCAATAACTAAAAAAGTAATCTTTTCTGGTGAATCACACGGATATTCCATGTTTGTGAATGTAATTCTGTCCCAGAGTGAAACATAAAAAGGAAGCAAACATTCTGGGGCTTTGTGGCCCATCATTTTCTCTTGTTGAAGATCGTATAATATCAAGGTTTACAGGCATAATAGAACACAGCAGTAGTAACAGTGTCAAAAACAAGCACCATGGAATACATAGAAACCAGCATGGGCCCTTCCCAAAAACTAATGCCCTTGCTCATCTTAAACTCAAACAAACACTCAACTAGTCTAAGTCCAATGTTACTCAACAAAGCCATAATTAGAGCTGTTTGTTGTCTCCCAGCCATCATATTATTAGCCTTAACTAATGATTTAAATCCACAGCACTCACTCTCCAAAACTGTTAAAACCTTCGCCAAATTTCCCAAAACCATAAGATGCGCAAATGCCAGACAGAAGGGTACTCCTAGAAACCCTAGAATTACCCAGAATCCTAGGATTCTAGAACATATTCCATAAGCAAACAGCGTAGCAGGTACGGATACCAAAGTAGCAACAAAAATCACCCAAAGAGAAAGCAGGATAAGTAACTCCCAAAAAGTTGTATGTAGAAGCTTAATCCAAGCTGACCCGCTTCTCGTAAGTAGCCGTCTTCCATCGAGGTTTATTCCACTGTAGCTGTCGGAAACTACTTGAACAGTAGCAGCTCGTCCAAGGAGTGCGAACGTGATGGAGGAAGGAAAGCAAATGATGATGTGTGTTAAAGTTTTGGAGGCTAGTTGAGGGAGAGGGTGAACTCCACCAATCTGTCCAAATAGATGATCTGTTATGCTGATTGCTGAGAATGGTAATTGGGGAGAAGCGTGAATGAGAAAATGGGAGATGAAGAGTGAGATTGGGAGTGGAGAGAAGAGAAAAATAGAGATTGAATGGAAATGAGTTGGACGGAGAAGCATAACTCTAATTGATTCTTTGAAAATATGGACTGTGCTTATCAGATAGAACGAGTCAAGGACTTGTGCAGTCCTTCTGGGCATTGTGTTCAGGTCCGAGAATGGCTGTAGGTGTCTAAATCCATTTAAGAGGCATGTGAAAGTTTGATGGTTAATCAACTAAACATTTGGTTGCTTCTATTTCAATTTATCATCATTGAAGACGTATAATTGCTTTATTGTTTATGGAGGGTAGTCACCAAGTTTTCCACCACGACAAAGGATCCTGGCTCCTCTGGGATATTTGTTAAATAACCCAATGATGATGCAGAGGGAATAGCTTTGATTCTATTGTAAGGGATTCAATTACAAAAAAAAAGGCACCGATTTTTGTTGTTTTTGTAACTGTGTCATCACGGATGGTCCCATAACCGATGATGATGGTCACCAAAAAAAGGCAAAACATCTGTGGAATTACATGGGTTGTTCATGCCTCCATTTATATTTTTCAGATATTTCCAATTTGCTAAACAGAAACGTTAGATATGTGATGGCCTATATACCTCAGCTGGTAGATGGTTGCCTGCCTCCTAAATTCATATTCCTCCTCCCTAGTCCCTAGCATAGATGTTCGTAAGAGATCAAGGAAGAAATGATTGTGCCCATGAGGGTGGTTCGTTAAGGCCAAGGAAGAAATGATGGTGCCTTGAGGGTAGTTAATTAAGGCGAAAACACATGTATAAATTAACAGTGATTAACTTGAATGAGATGACATGATTTTTTGTCTTGTTTAATATAGAACTAACTAGCTAGCCTTTGAAGATTTATCTAATAAATGCAAAGCAATAATGTTTGTCTAATGGAATGGAACCAATAAAATATCTCAGTTAATTAATAATACAAATGTGCAACCAAAAGTAAATTTTCTTTGGAAGAAAACTATTTGCCTCTTCTACATCTCTTCTTCAGGAAACAACTCCTCCTTGAGTGAAGGAGCAATCCACTGTATTTGAATGTAGGTAATATCCCAAAGATCATCATCACCTCGGTTTTGGGCTAAAATTTCTGCTTCTTTCATTTTAATGATCATCTTCCTCAATAAGTCTGGCACAACATGTTGCAACTGTGTCTCGCCAAACACTCCCAAATCAGTCTTCATACATGTATCCATTCTTCTCATAACTCCCAGCCAGAAAGTCCTAAACCCAGGGCTGGCTGCTATCTGCTTAAGGAACCGCAAGTAAACATCCGTAAGGAGCTCCATTGCGAGTTTTAGAGTCCCTTCCATACTTCTCATCTCCCTTTCTGCATTCTCACGCCTTGAATATTCCACCATCTTTTCATGTAAGTCGTCTACCATTGCAAATATCACCAGGTTAAAGCAATTGATACAGTTGGCTGATGAGAAGTCAAGCTCCTCTGCCAATGCAAAACTTTTCTGAAGACACACAATTGCACGGTTTCTCATCTCTTCTCGCCGTGCTAAGCTGGCCTTTCTAAATGCTTCACCAAGTTTGACAAATAAATTCATGGTATAGTTGCCCGAACCCTTTAAGCTGTCCTCAAATGAGGAATTGCTCGCATTGCTTGCCATGCTAGAATTACTTCCTGGATCAGAGTAGTTTCTATACCAATGGATAAGTAAATTCACGGAATCTGATAGAAGGTCTAGTATCTTCAGGTTCTTCTCCAGCGGACTGTTCTTGAGCGCAACAAATCCAAAGGCACAATCAATACAGCAGGCGTAATTTATACGTGAAACATGTTTAGTGTCAGACATCAAGGTGATCAAAGTCTCGACACCTTGCTCGTAGGTTTCAGAGAGTCGGCCAGAAACAGATAACAAATGGAGTGCTGATTTCCAGCCAAGTTGGGTTTGTAGATTTTCAGGGTATTCAATAAGAATCTTGCTTATTGTATTTGTTATGGACTCACAACATGTGTCGAGAATTTCTTTATCGAGCTTCCACATCAAATTTATGGATTTGAAAATCAGCTCCTCTGAGAATTTATCAGCACTGGTTGAAGAAAGGAGCTTGAGACATACCTTGAAAAGACCTAAAATGGCCTTTTCAGCAAATGGGATTGGGGAAAAAAGAGGAAACTGAGCAACTGATAGTAAATAATCGTGGAAGGAAGGCCAGAACGTCTGGAATCTGTGAATGTTGGCCAAAGCGATGGCAATTACCAAATCCCAACAGAACCCCACTGTCTCTTCCTCTTCTACCGGGGTGCTGAACTTTTGGCCTTTTCCAGCTGCTGCAAATATCAGAGAACGCCCAAGATTCAGCAAAGTGTCATCAGGTAAGGTTGAGCTATTGCTGAAGATGCTCCAAATTCGGCACTGTTTGATAACCTTGAGATTTCGCTCAAATTCACTCATTCCGAGAGATAATGAATCTTCCACGCTCTCTACTGACAGGAAATGCGAGAATCGACTAATCGTGTTAGGATTCTGATTGTCCCCAAATTTAGGATCTTGGGAGGGAAAGATTACACCTGATTCAGTACTTAAGTTCGCTGAGGCATGGGATGCAGCCTTATCAAAATCAATTGCAGACTGAGGAAGCAGCTTAAGCCTGTTGAGTTTCAACAAGCAGTCCACAATATTCCGCCAGCCTGCTCGAATCGAATCTCCAAAGCTGTTTGCTATGGTGAAAATTGCAAGAGTGGCCATTCTTGGCTTCATGTCATTGCTAAAAGCAAACAATGTTTCTTCAGCAGAGGCATAAGGGTTTAGCAAGGTAGTGAATTTGGAAAACGAGGCAATGAGCTCATCAAGTGTATCTTCTAGGCCATACTGAGCTATCCTAGCTACTGACATCAATGCTTCAATGCATTCATGGAACAACTCATCTTCATCAGAATGGTCAAAGAAAGCAGAAAGAGTTGCAATAGATGGACCAGCAATGCAAGCAAACATATCTCTTCCCAGCCGCCGATCAAAATCACATAGTATGTAGGGCTGCATATCTTTGGATTGGTTAATCAGCTCTATCCACCTGCCTGGGTTCATCTCCACTGGCAAACCAGATTGACCGAAAACTGAGATTGGATTGGTTGCAATTGATTGGAAAAGCTCAGAGAGGTACTCTCTGGGAAGATCCTGCCCCCCATTGATTGCTCTATTGTTTCGGATAAATTCCTCCTCTGTCATCTTTTTTTTAACTTGTGGGTTATGTTGATCAGTATTAAGCATAATGAGGGAGTAACACAAGATGAAGACTGCATCCTTGGTGGCAAATATATCTGAGGATTGTTGGTCATAAAATTTATCCGAGAAAGCTTCAAGGATCCGCTGAATCTTTTGGGATTCCCCTGGTAAGCGGAAGGTTGCAAGAAAAGTACGGAGTGCTGTGTCAAGAATCATGCCTGAAAATTTGAAGGTTTCTGTAAATTCCTTAAGAACTTGAATTTGAAACTCATCAGGGTCTCCAAGATAATCGCCAATCGTGTTCTTGTCTAGTTCTGGTGTGTAGCGAAAGAACATAGAGATGGCTTTTGGATCTGCTGGCTCCGAGACTAATTGACGAAGTTTCAAGTACTCCAATCCTTTCTTCTCGTCTCGATTAAAATGGTCCCTAGCAATCAATAGTTTCTTTTTCTGTGTTCTCCTTACTCTTAAGTATTCCACCCAAGTTTCCAATTCTAAATCATCTTTGGACTTCTCTTCCCAGAAGGGGGTATACTCAGTAATTTCAACTGGGTATGGTCCAAAAGGACATGCCGATGCTTCGTTATCAATGCTATCCGCAATGGTGTGCATTATGATCACTAGACCTTCAAAAGCTTGGACTTGTATAGAAGTCAAAGGGCCAGCCCCTGGAAACGAGAGCTTGCAAAGCAACTTTCCAATCTCCTCGAATAAGTTTAGGCAGGTGGGATTGCAATCATAGTTGGCATACACTTCCATTATAAATGATGGTTGCCTCAAGAAATTTATGATTGCTTCAACCGCAACTTCTTGGAGGGGAACTGGAGAACCTGTAGCTGCTGCTCTCAGTATTACAAATCTAAAAAAGGCTTCTAGTTGAAGACGAATGTACCTGCAGAAATATTATTAAACACAGACATGGCATGACTCAGAAAAGTTTTCAATGAAAGAAAAAATATAATAAGCGCATAAATTTAGGCTTCCTAACCTTCGAAGAGAGAGATAAATATTCAAAACAATACTGCAAATCATGGAGAATAGAAGGGGGCCTCCGCGTGCTCCATAATGGATCAAATGGTGAAGCAGGTCATCCTGAATCATCCTCAAAAGTTTGGGGTGCTTCCCAATTGCATCCCCACCCAACTCTATGCCAGAATTTATCAAAACCAAGGCAAAAAGCTGAACGTCCTCATCAGCTGCATGAGACGTAGACCCTTCTGTCTCCACAACTTGCACCGCGTTAAGCAATGAGCATAAGAAGTGAAAGATATCAACAGCACAGCGAACTCCATACCCAGAATCTGAATTGCTGCCATCCTCAACGTCCTCCGTATCAGACTCCCATTCCTCTGGTTTTACTTCAATATCTAACAACCTCGAAAATATAATCTGTAACACTTCATGCATTGTATATCTTGCATTGCGTTGAAGCAAATCACTCCTGTTAGCAGATTGTTGAACCACCTGAAAACATGTATTCACCAGAGTACAAACAGCATTATCCGAAAGCAAAATTGAAGCGCTGTGTCTCATGATTGCTGTCACAACCTGTAGAATTCTCAGCATCACAGCTTCTTCCAAGGTCTGGTTTGTTGTTTCAAGGCGGCAATTAGAAATCCCAGTCACAATACATGTTATTGCATCTCTGGCTCCAGGGGTCTTCTCGTCGAAGATTTCCAGCCTGACAATCTTCAAAATGGCCGAAAGTGCAACAGCTGTTGCACCTGCAGGAATGTTTTCGCCTTGTACCACGTCAAGAAATGGGGAGATATAAATGGAGGGATCTACGGTTTCCCATTCTTGGTGGGGATTGAAGATCAAGGAACGCAGAGATTTCAAGGAATTGAGAATGTTGGTATCGCATTGACTATCTGATGTATAAAACGACGGTTCTAGTGTCGGCCGCCGTATCACGGCCAGGACAGCACCCAGCTCAGTGTTTAACATGCAAGCGGAGGCTATTTCTTTTCTTTTCTTTTTCTGTTGATATGATTTAGACAGCTTGCTTTCTTCTTCCTCTCCTCTTGTTGTCTCCATATTTTTTTTTTGGGAAAATAACGACGAAAGGGGTCAGGAGCGGAAGTTGAGGTCCTTTAATCAACTAACAAAAACGAAAAATGGAAATTGACAATGAGATTTTGTTTTTTTTTTTTCCTTCTTCCTCGTCCTTCTCCCGAGAATAAGAGAAAAAATGAGTATAATGACACTTGTAAAAGTGTGACAAACTTAAGACAAAAATGACCGGATTAGGTGCTAAACAAGAGGATAATTTAATCATTGAATGGTAAATTTGTATGGATAAAGAGGAATGCTTTAAGATTTACCACATATATCGCTTAGTTCTTTTGAGTTCTATTTAAAGAATATGACTAAAAAAGTAACTTAAAGTTTAGAAATACTTAGACCCTTTTAACCTTAATGATAAAGAAAAGGTTGGGTAACGAGGTTGTTTGGTCCCAAAGAAGTAAAAAAATAAAACAAAAATAAAAATAAAAAATCGAGTAACAACTCCAAAGGTGAAATTTCCAAAGCTATTGTAGCTTGTATCCATGACCATTACTGGGGTTGGGGATTGTTTTAATTTACAGCAGTAAGAAAAGTGAGTGCTCGTTACTTACTTGTAAAATCATTATCCTCAGCTGCATGGACCATTCCCTCAAATTCATTACCCTTTTTATCTCTATGTTTACCCAATTGATCATGTAGAAGGAAGAAATGGAGTACAATGAAGACGATCCAAGGTATCCACCAAAATCTTATTCTCTGAATCGATCGAGAAAACATCCTTTATACCCCCAGCATCAAACCTCAACTACTCACTACAATTACAATTTACAATTACGACTACCTCGACGTGAACGACGATGAGGAAGAACTGGGCGATGCATTCATCGACAAAAACGACGCCAGCTATAACCCTAGAGGGTATTCTCACAAGTTTCAACAAAGCCAACACGCTTTTGAGAGATACCCAAAGAGGCAAAGGCTCAAAAACCAAGTTTACAAGTTTGAATTTGCTCCGAGAAACCTCAGATTATTTTCATATGAAGATGGGGACAGGGATGAGAATACTGCGTTTGAATGGAGCGAGCATGAGAAATTTGTTCTTTTGGAGGTGTGGGGAGATAAGTTCTTGCAATTGGGAAGGAACAGCTTGAGATCTGAAGATTGGGTTGATGTTGCTGAGAAACTGTAGGAGACTTCCAAAATTGACAGGAATGAAGCTCAGTGTAGGCAAATGATGGATGTTTTGAAGATGAAGTATAAAAAAGAGAAGGCTAGAGGTAATTATAGCAAATGGGCTTATTTTAATAAAATTGGATATGTTAATGAAGCAAGAATCTGGAACTGTTGGTGGGTTTACTATAGCTTGTGGGGTAGATTCGGGGGAGTATATTTTTATGGACACGAGCGTTTTTTTGGATCGCTCCAATATGAATGATGAGATGAGGGACAGTCCATGTGAGTCGGAGGAAGAGGGGGAGGAAGAGGAGGAGGGAGGGAGTGGTGGCAATGAGGGGGTGAAGGGGTTGAGGGTGTTGGCTGAATCGGTGCAGAAGTTTGGGGAGATATATGGGAAGATTGAGAGTAGTAAGAGGTAGCAGATGATGGAGTTGGAAAGGATGAGGATAGAGTTTCAAAGGGATTTAGAGCTGCAGAAGAAGCAGATTTTGGAGAGGGCGCAGGTGAATAAGGGAAGAAGATGGTGAGGAGGACGAATACAATTTCGACGATGAGGATGATGAGCAGGAGGACGACTATGATGATTCTGGAGGGAATGTCTGCAAATGATGTACGTAGGTGTTTGCATATTATATACAATGGTTGTGCTTTAGTTTTGGTAACGGATCATTTTTCGTTCTTTTGTGAGTTTTACTGGAGTAATTGACAAATATTTGATGGATTTTTTGCACATTTTGTTTCCTTGTTTGGCTTTAAGTTTTGATTGCTGGCTTAATTGTTTATTTTTCGCCTGCTTGAAGTAAGGAGTTATAATAATTGTCTGGTAAAGTTATGTTGTTGATGAACCAGATTTCTTAAATAAATTAAAGGAATTTGACAAATTTGTCTAAACTAAATTGGTTGTGCATTCTAGACATACCATATGTGCATAATTTCCAATGCTTCACATCATTGAGGATGACAGTTTTTGAAATTTATTACTTGGATCGCCTCTCCACTTTGGCTCCCAGTTCCAGGTGCTTCCAAGCATGAAGTGTTGGTGTGGGAACGCTCCATACAAATTTCCTTAATTATACTTGACTGATAGTGTCATGATGGCACAAAATTGTCGAGAAGTTGAATTGAATCATGACGTTTCCTGAATGGAGTTGTACTGATAGAAAGAGATAGAAGTATGTATTGACTTTGTTAAAATTCTAAACTTTTAACAAAGTCGATACGTACTTCCATTGTTTATGACAAATGGGTCAAATATCCATCAGTCTCGCACAACAAATCATTAGCACATCAATCAAACACACCCAATTAACTCAAATAAGATGGTTAAGTAAAACAAAAAATGAGGCAAAAAAAAAAAATTGTTTATTTAAATTCTAGTTGATTTTCTGAAATGCGAAGATATAAATGATTGGAAAAGTTAATTATGATTGTGTACTTATTGAATATGGATGACATGACAAAATGAGTTTTTTCTTAAATTCTTTGATTGGACCTGCTCTATGATCTGTTCTGAAGATTTATTAACAGTATCATAGTCCTTTCTCTATTTGCGTAGATTGTTGGTAAGCCTGATATGAAGAGACGTTAGTTTAAACTGAGAAGAGCTGGCACTACATATTTTTTATTCTTACTCGCTGTGAAGAAAAGAGTTTGTCTTGAATTTTTTGATTGACCTGCTCCTTTATCTAGCCTGACAAGTTGAGAGCTAACTCGAAATTGGAGATTTATTAATGGTATCATAAACCTTTCTCTATTTGCATACAGTGTTTGCAAGCCTGATAATAAAGAGACATTATTTTAAACTGAGAAGAGCTGGCATTACAGATTTTTGTTCCTTCTTGGTGTGAAGAGAGCTTGAATCAGAGATCAGAATTCTAGTGCAAAGGCATCATTATAGGTCTAACATTAATAAGTTTCCTTGTTTAAATTGAAATGCAAATTATAAGTATACCAGCTTCCCTGGTATTAAACATCTCATATATTTTTACTAGTTGAAATGAGAGGTTAGGATGGTAGGTAATTGTGGTTGGCAACTTTGGGCAGTACAGTACATAAGCTCCAATGGCATCTGATTTTGTGATTGTGAAGGCTGATCTTTTTCAAATTTTTAAAAGTCGATATACATTTAAGTTTAGAACACATGAATATTATGTGATGGCAAATTTGGAGAGTGCAGTCCAGTACAGTACAGTATGTTTCCAGGGCATGTGATCTTTTAATATTAAATGCTGCTCCTTTTGAAATATTTAAAGTTGCTGTATAATTAAGTTCAGGCCATATGAATATTATGTGATGGTGTTGGGTCTTGTTCGTCGAATTTCCTTGAGATGGACGCATGCTTTTGGAGATATATGGATTTTAGAAAAACTTCTTATTTGGTGTTGTGGTTGTCTACTTGAAGTGCCTGAATTTCTGAGATGAGTCTTGTTTATTAATCCTATATTCTGTCCTTAAATTATTAATTCTCCTGCCCAAACCAAAAGGTCTTTGGAATGTTTCCTTGTTTTGTCGAGAGTTTTTCTTTGAAAATAGTTTGAACTCAGGTTGAGCAAGAATGATCTTGAAAAACAAGTTTCAGTTGGTTATTTTATTCACTTTTTGCTCAGTTACATGTAGATGCTGATATGGGAAACTTGTCTATGAAGTTTTACGTTGTATGATAGAAATGCTTTTGTATTGACGGTTGTCAATTTATATTGGTAATAATGCGATGGTCAACCAATGAGTTACACTTGACTGATTATGGTTGTTTATTAAGGTGATTTAAAGGCTTTGTTGATTGGATAACTGATTATTCTAGATGTAGATGTATTCTCTTTCTTGTTTTTTGCTTGCCAGACCTGCATGCTTTGCTAGATTGTAATTTTTGTGTCTGCAATTGCTCATCATGTTCACCTCTTTCTTACATTACGGTAAATCTTGCAGTACTTCTTGTAACAGAGATTCTGAAGGCCGTATTCTTGGCATTTGAAGTTTTGAAACCATAATATCTGAACATCCTGTGGAGAGAGATTTTCCTTTAATTGGAGGTTGCCAATGTAGCAACCACTCTCCAAAACTGTTAAAACCTTTGCCAAATTTCCTGAAACCATAAGATGCGCAAATGCCAGACAGAAGGGTGCTCCTACAAACCCTAGAATTACCCAGAATCCTAGGATTCTAGAACATATTCCATAAGCAAACAGCGTAGCAGGTACTGATACCAAAGTAGCAACAAAAATCACCCAAAGAGAGCAGGATAAGTAACTCCCAAAAAAGTTGTATGGAGAAGCTTAATCCAAGCTGACCCGCTTCTCGTAAGTAGCCGTCTTCCATTGAGGTTTATTCCATTGTAGCTGTCGGAAACTACTTGAACAGTAGCAGCTCGTCCAAGGAGTGCGAATGTGATGAAGGAAAGCAAATGATGATGTGTGTTAAAGTTTTGGAGGCTAGTTGAGGAAGAGGATAATTTAATCAACCATTGGATGGTAAATTTGTATGGGTAAGGAGGAATACTTGAAGATTTTTGCTACATATATCTCCTAATTCTTTTGAGCTCTTTTTAAAGAATGTGCCTAAAAAAGTGATTGAACCTATTAGGTTAGCCCTGATGCTATTATCGTAGATTTGCTCTAAATATGCTATTAAAGGGCTAATTGTTGAAATAATTTTACATAGATGTCCAATCAATCGCCATAATAAAAGGAATTATCTCGACTTTTCATTAAAAAAGCTTGCATGCGTGCAACTAGAGATGACAATGAGACATATATAAAACGAATATCCACTTTGCTTGATCTAATAAATATATATTAAAAAAATTTCAACTAGAATTTAAAAATTAAGAATCAAAATATTTTTTTCAAGAACTTTTGAGGATCAAAAACTTATAAAGAATGATTGAAATGTAAAAAAATGAGCAAGAAAAAATTTCTTGAAAATTACAAGGACTAAAATAAATATTTTTGATAAATTATTTTTAATAGATATTAAATAGGTTCTAAATAGATTGATAAATTAATGTGGATCAGGTATGGATTGGATAAAGATCTATATGGTGATTTCTAAATAAATAATGGATAGATTATTCTTTTCACGGGTAGAATAAAAATTTAAATTAATGAATCGGATATCCTCTCGTTATCATCATTATGTGCAAAATCAATGTAATGAAGAGAAGTGAGGACTTAATCAAGTGTCAAGGCATTGTTCATAGTTTGATGAGCTCAACGAAATTGGATGAACCATTGTTTGAAGTTCAAATTCAAGATAAAATCTATGTGGAATATTTTTTAATAAAATATTAAAAGTTATGTTAATTATTAAAAAATAATAATAAGAAAAATCAAGTCAGTCATTTCAAAAGATTTATACTATTTTTTAAAGGTTTAATGACAATTCTTGCCTCTAATCTATTGCAATTTGGCAAATTCAAGCTCGTGGTATCAAATTGCATAATTTGAATCTCAAAATATTGAAAATTAGGCAAAATTAGTTCAATTTTCTTAATTGACATTAAATGTAACGGTCATCGCAATTGATTGTTATTGTTGTCGTTTAAATTTTTTTTAACCATTATTAAAATTAAGTGTAAGATTAGAGATATAAGGCAAGCAATGATTGAGGAGATAGAGTGAAACCAAATTAAAATTTGTTTTGCAATTGAAAGGGATAAAGAGCGAGAAAGAGAGAGACAAAGAGAGAGTTGGCAGTGTTTCCTTGATTTTACATCTATCTCTCTCTTTCTCTCTCAATGAAATTGTACTCAAAGTGACTGTGATGATACATTCGGTATGTCAAAAGAAATCAGATATGGAGAGGAAGGCCCATCTCTTGGCGAGGCAACATGGAGGGTTTCTATCATTTAGCGAATCTCTCTTTGTTGCAACCATGGGGTTTTTTTTCCTTGTCTAGAGAAAAGGCACATCTAATTTGAGCCTCGCCAATTTTTACTAAGTTTTTTCTTTGATTTTACTATTGTTTCTTATTTTTTACGGAGCTTGATCTAGAATAACTTATTATTTACTTGTTAATGGAAATTAGTCTATTCATTTAGGATTTTGTATTTTGGGAAAAAGATAAAAGTGAAGTGTGGGAGAGGAATCAAAATAACTATTCAAGAATATGAACCCAGGTGCAGGAAATCACTATCTTCTGAAATAACAAGATCAACAAACAGTTGAGGAGCAATTCCATCTAGTAACGGATATTGAATTCCCTGGATATATTGGATTTAATGATATGCCTGTCTCAGTTACAATCTCTGTGATGTAGCAGACTCAGGCTATCCAACCACAAGAAGGAGCAGTTGTAGTTAGAGCAGGATTAAAAGGTAAAGCCCTTAATACCACCCCATAACAGATCATTCAACAGCAACCAATAGTCCCACCTCAAAATAAAGAGCAAAGAGAAGTTATAGCAGACCAAAACCAGCAACAAAAACCACAACAACCAGTACAGGCTCAGCTAACTAAGGATGAAGTACAAAACAAAACCAATGCCCTTACTTTCTTGGCATTCTATTGTATGCGATTGATAGGCAAATCCCCTAAGAAATTTATGGCTAGCATTCCAATAATGAAGCAACAATATATGCAATTTTATCGAGCAATTCGAGTTGTGGCTGAATT